GGTCATAGTTGCTGCATTAACATATAAATGATAATTCTTCATCCATACTATGGCTACTTCAGAAATGAAGTGATGGATGTGGATAATTAATAACAATTAGCAAACTTTAAAAAGTACGTCTAATCTTGTAAAGTGAACTTCTTTGCGGTCTAAACGCATTTCCAGCACTAAGTTGTATTTGCCCAACATTCATTATAAAGATAACCTCAAGCTGGGATCATTTATTAAACAATAATCTCGTCTTGTTTCAGTGGTTTTATCCCTGACAGCTGAACACAGTGAGCCTGGTTTTGAGTTCAGACATTTCTGTGGCTCGTAGCTGAACGTCTTCATCTCCACACGTCCAAACTCCTCCGGCTGCCGTCCATCGCTGCTATCAGAGCTCATCACGCCTCCTCAACAAACATGTCTGCGTCTCTGTGGTGAAGCCATTTTTACTGCATCCACCCCCTAATAAACTTTATGGCGGTGAAGAGGCAGCGAGCGGGCGGCTCCGCGCTCATTACCGTCTGTTTACCCAAAAATGAGACGCGAGTGCAGCTGTTGCTACTGACAACGTGGATCTCTGTTCACAGGAATAAAACGTAGGTTTCCTGTCGGATTTCACTGCACATGCAGCGACAGGATCCACATTGTTCAGCACAGAGCTGTCCGACAGGCCCGGCATCCGGCTGCAAGTCATCCTGGACGCTAAGAATGGAGTCACTTCAATTTAACTCATTTTGTTCATTATGACCAAATTCTAATAATTTGGACAAATGTGTGTCACCAGAACTAGTTTAAATCTCTTTGGACAACATTTAGATTGTTTTTGACAAACTATGAGTCATTTTGTGCATATTTTCTATCATCATTGGTGTTTTTTAAAAAAAAAAAACTGTTTTCAAAATCTCTTGCAGCAATCAAAGCGTCCAAGTTACTACATGAGGATTTGGATCTGCCGGGACTGGTTCTGGTGACAGATCCTGCCTCCCTGCAAATGTTCCACTAAAACAAACCCTCTCATCACTGAAGCTGCATTCTTCGGTTAGTTCTGCTGAACGCATTGTGGTTGGTTTAAAGAAATAAAACGAGCCAGAACATTTTAGGCCCAACAGCAGAATGATGACGAGGTGCAGTCAGGCTGTGCAGCGTCACCGGTGCCGTTAGCAAAATGTCCGTCCAAGGCTAATCCGTGAGGTTAACTTTGGTCAGATTGAAAACATTTTTTTTTAATGATTTATGTAAAAGTCTCTTTTATTTTGAAAGCTGCCTGGAGCTCATGATAACTGCCCCACTGAACGACATTCTCCTGAACCTCTGCAATGAACAAATGATGTGAAGTTAGCTTAACGCTCAGAGTCACATGTTAATGAACAGCAGGTTTGAATCTTCCATAGCTCGTCTTCAATGTCTCTAGTTGGACAACAACACTCATGAATGTCCTGGAAACATCCACTGAGTCTGCAGATCCTTCACGTGTTAAAGTCTGAACATAAATGAAGTCAAACTACTTGATGGAACAAAATTAAATGTCTGCAGGTGGGTAGATTTATTTATTTTCCTTCTTTCATCAGGACTTTGGCAGCCAGACAAAAAGAAAATCAATGTGTATAAAAATCAGGCAAACAAAAACAAGATGTTGAAATAAAGTGATATGTGGAGTTCCACAGGGCTCGATCCTCGGGCCCCTTTATTTAACATACAAGTTTCTGTTTGGAAGCAAAACCACGTCCAGATCATCTGTGATACTCGAGCAGATGAATGTAGAAACTGGAACAGCAGCTGTGAAGGTGGAAGATGCACCTAAACGTTCTGCATCAGTTTTGCTTTGAAGCAGCGTCCGCTCAAGGCCTCAAGTTCAAGATGCGTCTCTTTTCCCGTCACTGACTGAGTCACTCTGCTGATAGTCTATCAGCGTTAAGATAGCGCTGCTGGAGGCAAAGGTCTGGATGTGGACACACCGCAGCAGATAGCAGGATCCCGCTCTGTTTGCCCAGCGCTCCTCTCCAACCTTTGGACACCACACCTCAACTGCTGCATCACTTAGCAAATAAATACACATTTATGTGTGTGTGACTTGAGTTTATACGTGACCCCAAAGGTTGCTTAAATAGCGCTACAATCATCTGACATTACCCATGAAGATGTGTGTTTAAGGCGCCGTGTTGCTTCTCAGAGTAGAAACGAGACTTTGCTCGCTGAGGTTCCAGGTTTTCAGCTCCTCAGTGATAATTAAAGATGGCTGCTGCTCCTCCTGAGCGCCGTCTTTGTGTTTTAAAGTGTGTTTTCTGTATTTGTTGTCAGCTTTTATGAAGCAGGAAATGTTGGAAACGCGCTGACGTTCAGCGTTGTGTGATTCAGCTGCTTGTTAATGAAACAAATGAGTTTGTGGCTTAACGATGCATTTATTTCTGTTTTCATTCAGAACGTGTCCCAGATCAGTGCTGCTCTTATCTTACTTCCACTGGATTCATGTTTATGCAACTGCTTTATATAAGCCACAGCGCGTGTGGTGGGTTTTATGTTGAGCTGACCTTGTTACCTGTAATCACCCAGACAGTAAATTCATAAAAACACGTTCATCCAACAGTCAGATGAAGCCGGCGGCGCGTAAAAAAAACAACACAATGAAAAGATCAGCTTTACCTTAAAGCCTTTTTTTCTCTTTTAATACAAATTACATTTGAAAATATACACGTGATGAAGTGTGACGGCTGAAATCATGAACATTTACACGACATTTGAGGAAGAAAAACGTCCGGCTGTGATTTACTGAAGCCGTCCCTCCACACAGGAAACCAGACGGCGGGAATCTGTCGTAACTTGACCTTAGTTTGGAGGCAGATGATTCGTGGATCAACAGATTATTAATCAGCACCTCTCTGAACGATTAAAGTTAATTTCATGGCCGTTGATGTGAACCTGAAGCTCTTCTGCCTCGTGGACCAACACTCGTTTATCTTCTTCAGAGAATAATCAGCATGTTAATCAAAAACGAAACTCAGCCCTGAAACACTCGACTTCTGGAAGCTGCTTCGGTTTTAGTCGGACTTCAGATTAAACGAATTACGAGCGTGAAGCGATCGCTGCTCTCATCTGGATTCAAACCCGCCGTGTTCTCAGGAGAAGTCTGATTCCAGGTTTTACGGCCTCAGGTGCAGGAAACTGTTCACACCTTTTATCTGCCTGCAGAACCGACTGACCTGATGACTGCAGCTGAACCCGTTATCTCTGCTGGAGACTCCAAACCTTTCATATGTGACCTACACAGAGCGGCTCTGGGCCTTCAGCTCTGTCTCAGTTAGATGCAGACTTAGATTTTGTTTCTGCGGCGTTTAAGGCGTCTGTGTGTTGATGGGAGACAGTTTCAGCAGAGATGTCGGTGAATAACTTGAACAGAGGTCTTGATGTGAGGAATGAAAACGTTCCACAGCAGCAACACACAGGCATCGTTTAACGTCTAAATTAGTCATGAATCAACGTACGAAGCTCCTAATTACAGGATGTTAAGTCGCTATAACCCGGCTGTCTGTGGGAGTGGAGCGTTCCTAAAACATTATTCGTTTTCAGCTACTTCCTGTTTTATTTTGAAATCCTCTTTCCTCGTGTGCTGCTTGTGTTTTTACTTCCCTTCTTTGTTCCTCTTTTCCCGATCCGGTCGTCCTGTCTCCTGATCAGTTAGAGGCCCGTTCTCCTTCCTTCTCCACCTCGTCTGTTCCGGGTTCTGCACGCTTGGTTCTCGGTTCTGTGCTCGGTTGTGTTCGTCACCTCGTTGGGGTTCGGCAGGACTTTAGGTTTGGACTCGGTTCCTTCCTGCTGATCCCTGACCAAGTTTCGACTTTCTGAACAAAACCCAGAACCACCACTGAGGTCCGTTAGAGTCGACCGGCTCCGTGTCCGTTCACTCGTTTCTTCTCTGTTTGAGTCGGTTTCTCTCTCTGGTCGTGTCTCTTCGTTGTGGTTTTGTTTTGGACGAACGCGTCTTGCTGTTGTTTCATCAGTGAGCCGTGGTGTCGGATCCACGTCTCCTGGTTTCTCATTGTTTGACTGATAATTCAATTCAATCCTATTTTATGTGCGTAGCGCCGTGAACAACAAGCCCTGAACTCTGCCGTCTTTACAGATTTTATTGGTTCTTCTGTCTGATGTTGAAGCTAAACTGGAACCAAGTTTGTTTAAACCCGACGCCCAGAAACCGAATCACCAACCAAAGACTTATTAAGGTGCCTGAAGTCTCGTTTGTCGTGTCCTTCAGCCCAAAATGTTGAAGACTGTGTTAGAAAACATCTGAGTTTTGATTAGAAGGTCAAAGCGACGTGGACGTGAACGTCTTTGGAGAACATGACGGAGGGATTCTCAGCCTGACTTTACAATTTGGTCGCTTCACACGAATCCAAACGTGCTGATTTACTGCCGACGGGCTTCACCGGCAGCAGAGCATCATGGGTAATGTGGTGTTTAGAGCTGACAGGAGAAAACAAACGATTTCAGAACGCTGGTGAGACGATGAGCTCCTGATGGTTCAGTCCTCCAGGAGCTTCTGCGATCAGCAGCAGAACGACGCTCGTTGTTTCACAGTCTGCAGTTAAAGTCGGATCAGAGGATCTGGAGGAGTCCAGCATGTGTGGAGGGACGTGAAGGAAGCGCTGAAGCTACTAACAAACCTGTGGAAGCTGGATTCACCCTGAAATTTTCCCTTTTAAGTCACTTTAGAGTTAAAAACAAGCGTGTTGTCAGCATCATCTACTTGTTGCAGCTCAAGTGAAGCTGAACGTTTACTAAGATATTCAGACCAAAGCCGCTCCATCAGATGGAGATGTTCTACGATGGATCTTCCTGTTTAAGAAGCCTTTCAAACAGGCTGAGCTTCTTTCTGCAGCCTGAGAGTCTCATCGTGAGTCAGAGTCATCGGCGACAAAAGTCCGACTGCTGAAACGTCGTCCGTCGACGTTTTCTCAAATGTTCTGTCGTCTGTAGGAGGCGGCTTCAGTTTCTAGTCCAGAACCCCGACATTGTCCTCAGTACTCCTCTTTGATGTTCAGAGCCAGAGACGGAGACACCAGGCCGTTGCTGCTGCCGCCGCTGCTGCTCGTCACCATGGCGACGCTGCTGCCGCCGTTTCCGTGGAGACCACCGCCGCCGGTGGGAGGCGTGGGCGTGGTCGTGGAGGAGGCCGGCTGCTGGAGCTTCTTCTTGTTGATCTTGCGCTCCTTGGCCCGGCGGTTCTGGAACCAGATCTTCACCTGAGCAGAGAGACGGTTACAACATGAATTCATTTATGTGCACAAAGAGACGACTTCTCATCAGGCTGCTGCAGCAAAAATCAGACGGGAAGAGAGAAAACTGAAGCTCGCTTTAGTGGCTGGGGGTCATGTCCCGTCTCTGTTTGGCCGTTTAATGTGTGATTTTGGGCGTTTTCAATATTTTGAGGCCATTTTGTGTCGCTGTGGTTAATTATTGTCTCTCAGTGGGTCTTTGTAACGACTCGGTCTCTTCTTTGTGTCCCGTTCATGACTGTTTGTATGCTTTGGTGTTGGTTTGCAGCTGGACGAACCGGAGCAGAGAGTCGATGTGAAAACACACGACTGAAGCCGACCGGTCACGTGGGAGCAGGAGGAACGAATTTTAACCAAATTTGACAGAAATTCGCAAAAGAAAATTCAACTTAAGCCCCAATTCTGTGCCTCAAAATGATTTCCATGTTCTGAGCTGGTAGGAGCTGCAGCTGAGCAGCAGGTGGCGCTAGCGCTCAGTTAGCACCAAGAAGCCACCGGTAGCTATTGAGGAGCTCCAGTGAAACGTCGACCACGACTACAAACTCGTTGGCTAATTAACAACATGCAGCTGAAGCTGAAAGAAACGTCTCTGATGCTGATACTAGATGAAAAGAAACCAAAGTTATTGAAACCAGATGTCACAACAATCCACCCGGTGATCAGCTAGCCTGGCTAGCAGCTAGCGTCATGTGAAGAGTTTGCGTACCTGTCTCTCTGACAGGCTGAGCGCCGTGGCGAGCTCCGCCTTCCTCCGGATGGTGATGTATTTGCTGTAGTGGAACTCCTTCTCCAGCTCCAGCCGCTGGTGGTCGGTGTAAACCACCCGGTACTTGTCTTTGGTTCGCGTCTTTCCGTCTGCAAAACACAGAAACAGAACCAGGTTTGAAAAAACACGTAATACACTTAAAAGACCTGGTTTGCATTCCAAGCTGGAGGTGGAGCGTTTAGAGACCACAAGAGGTTGATGTAGGTTAGCTTAGCTTAGCTTAGCTTAGCTTAGCATAAAGACTGGACGCAGTGTGAGAACGATTAGCTACGTCCATCTGATTAACAATTCATACGTCCTAATACTGGTAACGGTTGGGCAGAAACACTGGATTAAATGTTCACTACAGTAAAAGAAAAAAAAAAAATTAAAAAAAAAAAAAGAGTAGTTAGCTAAATGTAATAAATTAAAGAGTCGTGTTTTTTTTTGTCAAATGAAGTAATATAATTAGTTAAATCTGAATATATAAACAGACTCAACACATTATGAACAAATATTTGACCCATTATTTTTAGACGAGTATTACTTTGAGCTAGCCGGTCAGTTTAGCTAACTAGCGCGCTCAGCTAGCTCTTGTAATCCATTATTTTGCTTAAAAATGTCAATAGTTTAAACAGTTAGCTAAAAGTAGTAAATTGTTAGTTAAATATTATAAATGGTTAAAATAATCGATTCAGTACTTTGCTAAGAGTCATATTTTCCCATAATCTTGGGTCGAATGGTTTAAAAAGTCATAAATAAGTCAGATAATGGATTAAATGATCAGCTAAATGTATGAGCTAGCTAAACCAATGGTAGATGGTTAGCTCGTTAATGCTAATAAATAGCTCGCTAAGGTAAAGACGTGACGTATAAACTGTGTAAATAGTTTCAAAACTGTGGCTCCAGTGCTCAGAAACACGTTGAATGATTCAGCTGCACCAAATCACACCCGCTGCTGGCATGAATGGAGTCGTATACTTTATGTTGTGTTGTAAAGCCGAGGCGTCCATGGAGCTCCTCACCATCAGTCCTGTATTCAAATCGTCCAGCGGCCTCGGCGGCATTTGCATGAACTGACTTCTATCTGCTGTTAAAACCGGCTGCAGACGTCCAGTAACGTTAAGGTGAAACTTCTCCTAAAAACCCGACGGCGAACGCTTTCAGAGCCCAAAGTCATCCTGAGTCCATGAAACTAACTTATTACTGAGCAAATGAATTCAGCGGATGGTAAAGTTGTGGTCGTTGGTGCCGTTTGTGTCTCTCAGTAGTTAATTGTGGTCTTTTAGTGTCTCTGTGGGCATTTGATGTCCCTTTATGTCCATTTGTGCCTTTTTAGGATCATGTTGTGTCACTTTGTGGTCATTTGTCGTGTTTTTGAGGCCAGTTTGTGCCTCTTTTAGGAAACTTTTAGTCCCTTTGCAGTTGTCTCATGTTCTTTTATGGCTTCTACTAATTTTGTGCACACTTGTGGTCCTTTTATGTGTTTTTTTTGTGTATTTTAACTGGCTTTACAACGGCTACTTCACGCATGAACGTAATCCTGCCGACCAACTGACCAAACGAATTACTTCAATATAAGCTTAACAGCAACTACAACTAAGAGTTTATCCCCAAACACAAACACAAACTATGGAGCAGGAGGACTGATGAGTGACTTCCTGTGTTCTGTGATGAAGTTAATTAAAAGGCCGTCAGCTCTCGTTAACGCGCTGCGATTCAATATTAACACTGAACACAGGACAGTCAGACGAGCGTCTTCTTTAAACAGCCGCCGTCTGTCCTCCGGTCGCTCAGCCGGCTAATTAAAAGTCAAACATTTTAGTTTCGGGGGAACATCTGTTCCAGCTGTTTCTGCTTCATTTGTCAGAAAGTAAAAACCAACAGTTTGATTTGGCAGAAAACGAGCCGCGAGGGAAATCAATAAGTTCTTCACTGGAAACCCCGACAGAGGACTTGTTCAGGACGCGTTTAATAGTTTAATATAAGAAGAGTTTGATGAACGGCAGCTGTTTGGTGTCTGTTTGTCATAAGTCTGGTCGGGTTCTGTGTCCTTGTGGGACTTTTGTGTGACTTTACAGCCTTTTTACGACTTTATGGTCATCTAGTGTCTCTTTGTGGTCACTTCTCGTGTATTTGCAGCGGTTTTGGGCGTCATTGCGGTAATTTTACGTGTCTTTTGTGTACGTTTCCATGAGTTTGTGGTCATTCATGGTCACTTTGCAGCGTCTCTTTTCCAGTTGTTTTGGTCCTTGTGGTTATTTTACGTCTTTGTCGTACCGTTTCATCTGTTGTTTTACAGATTTTCTGTTGGAAATACGACCAAACTGCTTCTAAAACCCTTATTTTTATGCAACATTTTCAAGCCGCCTCCGTTCGACCCGTTGACAGACAAACGGATCAACGTGATCCCATCTAGAGGACGTGAGTTCAACACAAACAGAAAAACCGTCTTCACACATGCGACGGCCTCGTTCTTGGTGCCAAAGATGTTATAATGACGAGACTTTGCACCTGAAGAAGCCCAAAAGTGACGCCCAGAGGCGAGTGGTGCGACACGCGACCGGCCAATCGTCTGCTCTGAACAGGTGAAGCAGGAAGCGTCCGGCCAATCATGTGGCTGCACCGAGCGAGGCGTCGTAAAAGTGTGACGGGTCAAAGTTTAGCCGGTGGGGCTTTTTAACGTCACGCTGGGGGAAAGCCGCCAAGTTCAGATTCAGTCAGAGGTCTGGTGGCCTCGTAGCGGTGATGGTGGAGGATGCTGGAGGCTGGACGGCGAGCTGCAGAGTTCAGCCTCCAGCTCCGGCTGTGGCTGGACTTTAATGATGATGATTTACCGTCATCACAAAACGATGTGTCTGTGAGCAAACACTGCAGTCAGAGGCTTAACGTCAGAGTTTTTACTTCTCACTCACGATTAAACACATCTGCTGTTCAGATTTATACGTTTTTACAGATTATTCGTTAGAAGTGGACATCGATGTTTTCAAAACTGCATTTTAGACGTCTGATAAATATTGATCACCATCATCTAAAAGAGAAAAATGAACAGCAGTAAAAATATTGATTATTATCATCTGTCTGAAAGGCGAACTAGCTGACTTATTTTAAACAAGTAACGCCATGCTATATTAGCTAGGTGTACCTTAAGCTAATTAGCTAGTTGAATATGTTAAGCTAATAACGTTGTACTATGTTAGCTTGGTGTAGCACAAGCGGTTAGCTAGCTGGCTTATATTAAACTAGTAATATTATGCTATATTAGCTTGCTGTAGTGCTAACTAGAGGGATTTATGCTAAGCTAATCACATACTACTATATCCGTTTGCTGTACCTTAAGCTATCTAATTAGCTGACTATGTTAAGCTAATAATGTTATGCTATATTAGCTTGCTGTAGCACAAACTATGGTACTTTATGTTTAGCTAGTTACATAACACTACATTAGCTAGGTGTAGCACAAGTGGCTAACTAGTTGACTTATTTTAAACTCATAATGTTATGCTATATTAGCTTGGTGTACCATAAGCTATCTAACTAGCTAACTATGTTAAACAAATAATGCTATGCTGTATTAGCTTGCTGTAGTGCTAACTAGAGGGATTTATGTTGCGCTAATCACATAATCCTACATTAGCTTGCTGTCACGCTAGTTATCTAACTTGCAGATTTTGATGTTGTGCTAGTAGTTTTTTTGCTATATTAGCCTGCTGTAGCACTAGCTATCTAACTAATCATTATTATTATTATTATTATTATT